CCGATCGCGAAGACGACCATGGCGAAGTATCGTGCGCCCGTGTTCAACGTGGCGCAACCGAGCACGAACCCAAACACGGCAACGGCCTTTGCGCTCGTGATGTGCCAGGTCCGTTCGTTGAACTTGCCCGAACTGGCGGACCAGAGGATCGAGATGATCCCCGCGATGAGGTACGGCGGGCAGGTCAGCACCAGCGTGATGGTCTGGTTGAAGCCCAGCGTCTCGACGGCCGTGGGGAAGAAGTTCTTGAACCCGTTGGCCGCAAGGTGCATGTGTTGCATGAAGGCGAAGAGCCAGAGCTTGGGGTCTCGCGCGGCTTCTAGGAGGCCCGCAAAGGTCGAGGTGCCAGCCTTGCCGCCGACCGTGTCGCGCTCGATACGTTCGTGGGCGAGTTGTCGTTCTTCGGCTGTCAGCCATTTGGTGCTGAGAGGATGGTCTGGGAGCGTGAAGACGGCGCCGAGGGCGATGACAAATGTGGCGATACCCTGCAATTGGACCTGTTAGAACTTGGAATCACTGGGAGACAAAGGTAGGGTGCCATACCTGGATGATGAAGAGCCATCGCCAGCCCTCAAGGCCGGCTTTGCCATCCAGCTCAAAAATACCCAGCGCAATGAGACCGGCGAACGCTGTGGCGAGAATGTTGCCGGTGTAAAGGATGGAGATGCGTGTGGCGATCTCTTTGCGGGTGTAGAAGATTGAGAGCATGAAGAGCGCGCCAGGATAGTAGGGGGCCTTGGGATTTATTAGCACTCTGGTGTAGTGTAGGCGGGTGGTGATAACGTACCTCTGTAACGCCCAGGAAGAAACGAGTGAGAAGCAGACCGGTGAAGTTCTGAGAAAGCGCTGTCAAGGTGCTGACGACGGCCCAGAGCGCCATGAAGAAGGACATGTAATACGACGGACGGACCCGGGTCAGGATCATGTTGGAGGGCACCTGGCCGATCAAGTACCCGACAAAGAGAATGGACACCTGAGGAGAGCTATCAGCGGCAATTCACGCGGGGAGTGCAGGGCGGACGAGGCTTACGCAGGTCTGGTATTGCGTCGAGGTCAAGCCCAGATCTTCTTCCATGTCGTTGATACGGGCCAACGCAATGGCATTGCGATCCAAGTAGTTGAGCCAATACATGATCCACAGTGTTGGCATGATCCATCGATCAAGCTTCTTGACGAGTCTGGATTCAATATCTTGTCAGCCTTGCACAGCGACCAGCGACAACGGGAACATAGCATACTGGATCTCTTTCGGGTCGGTCTTCTTGTGAGCTCCTGAGTAATCGATGCGGACAGGTTTGCCTTCGCTGTCGACGACATATTCTTCGTGGGCACCTGCTGGTTTGTCGACCTCAACGATAGGCGTTTGGCGGCCGCCGTCGATCACGGTCTTCTCGTTGTGTTCATGATGAGCTGCCATGGTGGTGGTGAAGATGGAGCAGGAAGGATGTGGAAGACGACTGGGGTATTCTCCTTGAGCGCAGGAGCTGATGCACTCAACTCGAGACTGTTTGATAAGAGCTGCGAATACTCCAGGAAAGAGATCGTCTGAGAGGAAAACTGCCGACCTTTATACCTACCGACCTACCTACCCCGGGTCCATCTCTCAGCATACTCGACCACGGCGCTGGCGTTCATGGATAATGTCGACATTGCTCATCACACTCTTCAGGGTCCCCCTCATTTTCGTGCCAGCGCACTAGGACAGGACGTCCATGGATGAGCACCTAGGTGACAGGCATCGGGATGACAGACCAAGACACCAAGCCCGCCAAGTCCTGTCGACGACCCCGGACTGATGACCCCGTATTGGCGGAGAAAGCTTTGAGCCTTTTGCCACCTAAGCCTCTTCCGGCAAATCAGAAAATCCCAATGATACCCAAGACTCCGCGGCATACGTGAGCCAGGAATGATCTTTCCCTGATGCCATTCTAGAAAGATTGGCGTGCAGCGATGGCGGAGGCGTAGCAGTAACAAACATCTGAGGTCCTGACTTGGCGGAGCGGAGTTTGCATCATGCTAAGTGTCCTTCACCCCTCGTAATGACATTTGCCGTCTCGCCCTGGCCCTGGATCTCCCGCTCTCAAGTGCCGTTGCCTGTAGGTTGCTGCTTCCATCCCGGGATCAACCTTTCGAAATGGCGTCTGGCGAACGGCGAGCGGGAAGAAGCATGGGATTTGCCTCTGTAGCCCAGAACCGGATCCCAGTGGGAGGAGACACCGACCTTGGCAGGTGGGATTCTTCGGGCGTTCTCGAAGGTTTCTGCTTACGGAATATTGCATGGTCCCCCAGGGTTGGTCTCTGCCATGCTTGTCCTTTCTTGATGCACTGGGAAGCTATCGCCCAGAAGTCCCAAGAAACGCCCAAACCGTCCAGCATCATATATAGGACGGATGACAGATAGTGTACCTTCCTCGTTAGGTAGTGGGCTGGCATGAGGTACGTGAAGGGTTTCCGCGAAGGCGCAGAGCGGACCTTTTCGGCATGAGCTTCAGACACAAATCTAGGTCAGTCCACGAAGGACCATGTCTCCCAAGGACGGTCGCAGGGTACACGCGCTCCCCACGCCGATGACTTTGTCTCGACTGCTTTGCCGTCGCTGAGTACAACACCCCGAGAAGCCTCGCACTTCACTGGACGGAGGAGTTGACCTTCGGACGCTGGTTAGCTCTCAATTGGCACCGAGCTAGGGCAATGCGGTGCCATTGACATCCACACCGGATGCCTGCTCCGACATGCATGTGAAGAAATCCTGGATCTCGCCAGGTCTTGGTAAATCCCCAGTCGCTTCGTTGCCGAGGGAGACTTAGTGCGATCCCAACGTCCTAACCACGTCCTCTTGGCTATCACCCGACGCTACATCTGGGCAACTGATGAGACTCCTCCAACTGGTGGTTTGGTGGAGTCCATATCGCCCCTCGACGGCGCATTCAGGCAGCCCGATCATACCGGCCCAACCCGAAATCTCAGTGCAGTCAACGGTTTCACGGGCGTATTGATGATTCCAGGCTCGACCGCTGCCTTGTGAGCAGCACACTGTCTCTCCCACCGGCGACCAGAGTAGCTTGATCGCATTGGAGCGCGGAATGGTCATCAAATCACCTTTCTGTGCAGTCAGTGGGAGTCGCCATCCGCAGTCCATGTCCGTGTATGCAAGGAGCGACGGTGAGGTGTCCAGAATATGAAGTCTACTGTGCCGATGTGTCCAATTTTGACCGGGATGGGAACCACGCACACGGCTATCACTGCTGAAGGTAGGCTTCGAGGTCGACGGAAGTGATGGTGGCATTCCGATTTTTGAAGCTGTGAACGCGTCGCTCCATAGAACAAGAACTCATGCCGCCCCAACTCAAGCTATATCCTCATGTTTGGGCTGCTGATAGTCGATAGTCAGCCATTCCACTCTGACCTGTTTGTGCTGACGAAACACCGAAGCCGCGCTCCCGTGTTTCCTGCACTTCCAACGATGTGGCACAAGCGAAGGAGAAGTGATGATGAGGAGCACCCATTTCATCGAGGCAACCACGACGCCCGTCGGATAGGACTGCCATTGCTTGTTACCATGAGATCCGGGTAGTTGGACAACTCGCAATTCGACAGATACGACCTCGGTCGCCCATCCGGTCTTTTCCATCTGAAGAAGCAGGCTTCCAGCGGGGATCATGGGACAGAGACCGGCACGGACATATCGGCGTCTTCGGCGCATCACTTCTACTATAACGCAACAGCCATTAGCGTGAAATACTTCGCCGTATATGATATTGCCCTACATAGTAGTGTTTCCTTGTGCTGCTTAATTACTCCATACCGCCCCCCTGTTCGCATAACCACCATTCATTTGCATGGGTGCGCGCCATATCTGGAGGCTCAACCGCTATTTCCGGAGCGTCCAGGCGCCATGCCGGCACTGGTCCAGCTGCCAGGATCGACCGTCAGGTCACAGCAAATGGGCAAAGATCAAACATGACAAGGGCAAGAACGACATCGCGAAGAGCAAGGCCCGAACGCATTTGTCCGCCGACATCATAATGGCATCAAGACGTGAGGAGCTTCTAACGGTTCAAGGAGGCAAATTGGCTGATTGACATGCAGTGGGCGGGCCTGATCCCAGCATGAACTCCAGACTTGCGCATGCGATTGCCGTTGCGAAGAAAGGTCAACTATCGAAGACGTCTATCGAGCACGCAATTGCCAAGGGCCAGGGCAAATCTCCCACAGGTCAAGCGCTGGAGAACGTGACCATCGAGGCGATGCTGCCTCACGGTGTGGCTGCGATGATCGAATGCCAGACCGACAACAAAGCGAGAACATTGACAGACATTCGGTACATCATCACGAAGGCAGGTGGCACAGCTACGCCAACAGCATTCATGTTCGAGAAGAAAGGACGGGTGTGCTTCGAAGAGCAGGAAAAGATAAGCGTCGAGGATGCCCTGGAAGAGGCCATTGAGGCAGGGGCCCTCGACATTTCGTCGGAAGATAACAGACTGGTGGTTGAGACCGAACCAGCCGATGTCATGGCCGTTGCTCAGAAGCTTCAAAAGAAGCTGGAGCTTCAGGTGGAAAAGGCAGAAGTGGTGTACGTGCCGAACGAGGACTCTGTGGTTACCCTGTCTGAAGAACAGGAGGACGAGGTGCAAAGCATTTTAAATTCTCTAGAGGAAGACCCAAGTGTCCATAATCTGTACGTTAATGCTACCTAACAGCAGGCATACTCGTCTTGACCACATCTAATTCTGGACTAAACGTGTCTTCTCGTGCCCGTGAAGGGCTATCTGCGTGATGGTAGGAATGTTCAGCCGTACAAGCCGCTACGGCGGAGCACTGAAACAGCCCTTGGTTTCTTCAACGTGTTGTGAATTCATATCTCGTAGTCTGATCATGGTCAATGTACTGCCTAGACAAATGAGAATTGAGGTGTAAGTGAAAAACATGACACATTTCCACCTGAGAATGTCACAGCGGACTCCCTGCCTCTAAGATCGTCGTCGGTCACCCACAGGATGGAGCCTGGAACGACGCTGGTCAACTGGCAGCAGGCCTTTGAAGGGTATCGCATCCCACAAACTCGGGCAATTGAGAAGCAACTGCGATCAAGCGCAGCGCAAAACAAAGAGAAGCTCAGGACGCTTGTTGGGTAGGTTGGATCCCGGATACCGTCTGCCTTGCGCCTTGCCTGGACAAGCCCCCGGACTTTCCGCCTCTCCCACTCCCGGCAGGAGATTCCAAGACAATTCACTGACCATTCATCTACAGTGGCAGCTATCGTGAGCTTCTCGCGACCGCCCAGGCCATTGTTGTCCTGGATGAGCAAACAAGGTCCGCAGAGGATCACCTGTCATCCATTGGTCACAATTGCAGACCGCCTCAGCTAGATGCGAATCTCAGACCACCGCCAGCCGACCGAGTGGCCCTCGCGCAATATCGGCTCTTACAACGATGCTGCACGACCATAGCGTTGTGTCTACGAGACGACAAATTGCTACTGTCTGCACGATTGATGGTCGTGTCGAGGCTCCTGTTGAAATCCCTTAATGATCAAGAGGCCACCGCAAAATGCCTTGACTTTCTGCGTGGCAGGCTCACTAGCCTACGGCGGCAACTTCTGCTTCGCGTGGATTCCAAGCTGAATAATCCCACGTCGAAATTGCCAGCTCTGCTGGAGTCAATCTGCTCTTACTGCCTGGTTACGAGTAGCTCCGCGGACGATGCCCTCGCTCACCTCCGTCATCTTAGACTCGAGAAGATCCGCCGACGACTCACAGCTTCGAGACAGCCGTCGGCAATCTGTGAGGCTCTTCGTTATCAGTTATCATCCTTGCAATCCTTCAGGAGCCTCATTGGACTTCCCATAATTGAGGCGATGAACGAGCTGCAGAGAAGGCCTATTTTGGCGGATCCGAGTATTCGAAACCTTGAAACCCTCGACTTTGACCGGATTGCGTTGCTGATCCCGGATGATATTCGATCATTCGCCCCCTACTTCAGGAGAAGTGCGCCAACGTCAGAAGAGTTGCAATCTAAATTTGAAAGCTGGTCGCAAGATGCTTGTCGGGCGCTCTCCGAGGCTCTACGCCAATATCTCTCAGAAATGAGCCACGTAAGCGAGGTGCTCGAGTTGCGGAAACGGCTATACACCCTTCTCCTACCCTCTTATTTTTCAACACCGGCGGGGTCCTATCTCAAAGAACAGATGGCGCAGGCAATCAACGAGAAAGTCAGCGTCGTTTGTCGAATGCAAGGGGCACAGTTAGACAAGAGCACGGACTTACTACTTCAAAAAGAAACACGTGGCGAGCCGGCCCTGCTGTTGTGGGACGAGGAGATAGCGCTAGCAGGTCTGGACGCTGGGGGCAACACACTTATCAGGCAAGTCCGAAAGCGCCATGCTGGCCACAATGGGGCTCTATCGAAAGCCTCGAGGACTTTGACTCGATGGTTATCTACGGCAAACGCGACTCTCAATCAGCTGGATGCGGTCTCGGACACAAGGTGGCGAGACATCCTTGAGGAGCCTGACGAGGACGATGAAGTTGAGGCCGCCGATCTGATCACAGAGCTCGGAGAGACAGATCCGAAACTCTACAAGGAAACTTTAGCGGTGTCGCTGCGAGAAGCTGTTCTCAGGCACGAGTCGCGCATTGCAGAGGCTGCTGCTCGAATCTTGAATGAAAAGAGTGATATATCCTACATCGTGGCCTCCTTGCGCTCAATTCGACTTTCGATATCATCTCTGAAGCACGTCTCACCAGAACATTTCAAGTTTGACAGGTTCCGAGACATCGTTCCGAGGTTGCAGCAAACGCTTGCCAATGAGGTAGCAGAACAGCTATCGTGGAGGTTACGAAGTGGCGACAGAGCTGGAAAATGGGACACAACCTTCCTTCCAGACAACATGCCTTCGCCTCGAGCCTTTTCGACCTTGCGTCATCTGTGCAGGATAATGTTGGATCTCGGCGGCACAGACCTGTGGTCCCCTCCACTGGTCGCGTTGGTCAAGGAAGCCGTCAGGTTGAGGATATTCACTTCTGAAGTTAAGCCCGGCTATATGCACACCGACTTCGACGAAGTATACCTAGGCATTGCTCTGGACCGTGACCACGCTGAGTTTGCTCAGGACGTTTCGAACAGGAAGGAGCTTGTCAGGTCCGCAGCCGAGTACTGGACAAGGACGAAGCTCTTGTTCGGCGTGCTCGCCTGAGAGAAGTGGCCAGAGTTCCGACTTGGCCCTGGAAGAGACTTTAGTTGACCTAGACAACTCGCGAATGACAGTCTACATAACGAGTCCGCTAAACGGACTGGATTGCTTGTTGGAACCTTCGCCATGGCCGTGGAAGACCTGCAAAGGAAGCATCACCAGAGACCCGGAGAAACATTAATCCGTAATGCCACTTGCAATCCGTCGTCTCACAACTCAATATCTACGCGGTTCTATCTTGCCGAAACCACGAGCGAACCCTCTCATCGATGAGCTATGTCTTAGATATACCCCTTGTTCGCCAACTGCTCTTCACTCTTCCCAGCACATCCTGAGTTGCGGTTATCGCTTCCTATGCTCAGTTGCTTCTTGACCGGAAACTCAAGAAGTGCTGAGATAGACTCCTCGGATTCCCTCGATATGAGAGATCCCGCAGAGGTTCCCAGCCGCCTGTCACCAATATGCAGCCGGTTGAGCTTTCAGATCTGCCAGGAGAGTCCTCTTGGAGCAAGAGGAGAATCGGCGAATCCGAATACAATGGCCAGCTCGAGGCGGATGAAGATGTCCAGGCAGAGGACAAGCCGCTTATGGCTTTCGACCTGAATGATGAACGTGATATTCAACCCACGAAGCAGGAACTCGCGACCCTTCCCAGGGTATCGGACAAGATCCCATGGCGTGTCTACACTGTTGCATTCGTTGAGCTCTGTGAACGGTTTTCGAATTATGGCACCACGATCTTGTTCCAGAACTTCGTCCAACGCAGCCTGCTCACTCCAACCGGTCGAGCTCCTCACCCCAGCGGGGATATCGACAATAATCCCGGTGCCCTCGGGCAGGGTCAACAGATGGCTACGGGCCTGGGGACGTTCTTCTCTTTCTGGTCGCAAACGACACCGTTGTTGGGTGCCTGGGTTGCGGATACGTATCTAGGAAGGTAATGTCTAATGCCCACTCTGTCCATGTCAGATTCCACTCACATGTCGGAATAGGTACCAGACAATTATGATCGCCATTGCAATTGTGGTTATTGGACATGTGATTCTAGTCATTGCTGCTCTGCCGTCGGTCCTCCAACACACCCAAACAGCCCTTATCTCGTTCATACTCGGCCTGATTATCTTCGGGTTCGGCACGGGCGGCTTCAAACCGAACATCTCCCCTCTGATCGCAGAGCAGATTGTCCATGACCAGCCGCGCATCTCATTTGACCCCAGGACAGGGGATCGTGTGATCATTGACCCAGACCAGACGGCAGCGAGGATATATAACTGGTTTTACCTCTTTATCAACGTTGGCGCACTCTTCGGCCAAATCACCATGTCGTACGCGGCACTGTATGTCGGGTATTACCTCGCGTTTCTGCTTCCGACGCTGATGTTCCTCCTCTGTCCGATGATACTGCTCCTCAACAAGAAGAACTACCGTCTAACACCACCGCAAGGCTCAGTCCTTGGTCCAGCCGTCTCGTTTCTCATCTTTGCGGTCCGTCCACATTGGTCGTGGAATCCGCTCCGTACGATAAGCAACCTCCGCAGCACGAACACCTTCTGGGAGGATGTGAAACCCTCTCTTATCCCGCCGGCCAAACGCCCCCCATGGATGACCCCAGCTATCGACGACGCCTGGGTCTCGGAACTGCGTCGCGGGATACAAGCCTGCTCTGTCCTCCTCTGGCTCCCACTCTACTGGCTCACCTACAGTCAGATGAACAACAACCTGACATCCCAGGCTGACACAATGTACCATACCGCGGTTCCGCCAGAGATTGTCTCGAACCTCGACCCACTCGCCCTGATCATTTTGATTCCCATCTGCGACCTGCTCATCTACCCGTTCCTGCGCAAACGCGGTGTGCGCCTGACGCCGATAAGGAAAACGACTCTCGGGTTCTGGATCGGCTCGACTGCGATGGCCTACGCCGCCTTCCTGCAACATTACATCTACACGCACAACTCTTGCGGATATCATCCCTCCGAAGGTCTTCCCTCCACCTCTCCCGTCCAAGACTGTCCTCCTGCGTCCATCTCGATTCTCTACCAAGCACCGATCTACCTGCTCGTCGCTATCAGCGAAATCCTCGTCAGCATCACAAGCATGGAATACGCGTTCACAAAGGCTCCCAGAAACATGAGATCTATGATTCAGGCATTTGCGCTTTTAATGGGTGCACTAGCGAATCTGATTGGAGAGGGGTTCCTGTGGCTGGCGAGGGATCCGTTTCTTGTCTGGAACTACGGGGTCATGGGACTCGTGGCCTTTGTTGCTGGAGGGATGTTTTGGTGGTGTAACAAGGAATTGGATTGGGAGGACCCGGTAGAACACGTCGGGTCTCGAGCCGCAGAGCGGAGAGGCCAGAACGAGGAGCAAGCGTCGGAAGTCAAGCCCGATGGTCGTGGGAGAAGGTTTGACGCGAGCTGGAGCGTCGTCAGTGAAGAGTCCGAGGAGGACGAGGAGACCCTGCTCCGTGATAGACTGCATAGGAGGATGAATGGAGACAGTCCATAGAGCCAAAATCGTTCGTGCAGCCTCGCGCCTCGCAAGGCTGAGCTTCGCAGGTCTTGGCACGGGCAGCTCGGCAAAGCTTCTCTTTTCTGGCGCGACGGCCATGTCGATGTGTCCTCCAATTCAAATTGCATCGTGGAGCTTTCAGGAGAAGTGCCGTTGCGACGTCGACACCTGTCCCCTTCTGCCTTCCTGTCCAGCTCTTCTTCCCTTCCCTTCTCGTCCTTGTCTTTGGTCTCAGGTCCAGATCAAGCTGTCCGTCTCAGCGCAGCAACCATGTCCGGCCGTACGTGCTCCTCGCCGACCGCCGCACTCTGGTTGTCGAAATTGCTAACACCACGAACGCAGTCCGCTTTCTCGATCTCATTAAACCGTTTACACCCCTCCTCCCCGAGGTGGCAGCGCCCGAGTCCAAAATCCCCTTCAATCAAAAGTTGATGTGGACAGGAGTAAGACAATCGCGTTCCCTGCGAGACGCAAGAACCCAGGACTAATGAGGGCAACGCGCAGTGTACGCTCTTGATCTTCCTTGTCATGAGCCAAATGCCTCTCTACGGTATTGTCTCATCAGACACGTCGGATCCGATCTACTGGTTGCGTATGATGTTGGCCAGTAACAGGGGAACATTGATGGAGTTGGGTACCACGCCCATCATTTCCTCGGGCATGGTCTTCCAGGTACGTTGCTGCGTCTTGAGCTACGACAGCATGACTCTGACCGCGTGCAGCTCCTCGCTGGTACCCACCTCATCGACGTCAACCTCGACCTCAAGTCCGACCGCGAGCTATACCAGACCGCACAGAAACTCTTCGCCATCATCCTCTCCTTCGGCCAAGCCTGCGTTTTCGTGCTCACGGGTCTCTATGGTCAGCCCAGCGATCTGGGTGCGGGCATTTGCCTCCTGCTGATTGTCCAGCTCGTCCTCGCCGGGCTTGTGGTTATTCTGCTTGATGAGCTGCTCCAGAAGGGATATGGTCTGGGTTCCGGCATTTCCCTCTTCATTGCTACGAACATCTGCGAGTCTATCGTGTGGAAGGCCTTTTCCCCGACCACAATCGATACCGGCCGTGGGAAAGAATTTGAAGGCGCAGTGATCGCGCTTTTCCACCTGCTCGTGACATGGCCTGACAAGACCCGCGCTCTCCGCGAAGCTTTCTACCGACAACATCTCCCGAACGTCATGAACCTGCTGGCCACTCTCACAGTCTTTGCCGCCGTCATCTACCTCCAAGGCTTCCGCGTCGAGATTCCTGTCAAGTCGTCCCGCCAGCGCGGCATGCGTGGCTCCTACCCCATCCGCCTCTTCTACACCTCCAACATGCCCATCATGCTGCAATCCGCCCTTGCCTCCAACATCTTCATGATCAGTCAGATGCTCTACACTCGCTTCTCGGACAACCTCCTCGTCAAGCTCATTGGCACCTGGGAACCCAAGGAAGGCTCATCTCAGCTGTACGCCTCCAGTGGTATCGCGTACTACATGTCCCCACCACTCAACTTCACCGACGCACTCCTCGACCCCATTCACACGGTCATCTACGTTACCTTCATCATCGTCACCTGCGCCGTCTTCTCCAAGACGTGGATTGAAGTTTCTGGCTCCGCACCCCGTGATGTGGCAAAGACGCTGAAGGAACAAGGGCTCGTTATGGCCGGGCACCGCGAGCAGTCCATGTACAAGGAGTTGAAGAGAGTCATCCCCACGGCGGCGGCGTTTGGCGGTGCGTGTATCGGAGCCTTGTCCGTGGCGAGTGACATGCTTGGTGCATTGGGCAGTGGCACCGGTATTTTGTTGGCCGTAACCATCATCTACGGATACTTTGAGATCGCGGCCAAAGAGGGAGATTTCGGCCAGGGCCTGAAGGGCTTGATTGCCTAGATAGATGATTCTCGGAGACTCTGTAGTTTCAACGGTGCCCGGCCCGGTGGAGGGGATTTGAATTGGGTTTACCTTTCAAGAAAAGTTATGTATGACTGAAGATGCATAGCCAAGGTTGGGAAAGCATACGCAGGGGCAAAAGCGAGAAAGACGGTAGGAACTGTCTTGCATGTACAGCGGCAAAAGCTATACAAAGACACCCTACACCTGTACTGTCAACCGTGTACTTGGTCCGAATCCTGGCGAGCACGTCCACGCTCTTGTAGTCGTGAGAAGATGGAAAATGCCAGCGGCAGCGGCAGAGGGGATAATGGGCTCCACACGTAGCAGCCGTTGTTCCATTTCCTGTTCCCTTGGACGAACAATTACCCAGCTGCAGGTCCGCACCGTTTCTCACATCAGTCATACAGTACGGAGTGGACTCGCTTGCTTGCCTTTTTCTACGGTACCAGGAATTCCTGTGTAGGTAGGCATAGCTAGCGCTAGCTAGGTATATATCTACTGTATGTACAACCTCGTCCTCGTCCTTGTCGGTGCGCATTCCGGTATAGCATAATCTAGACGTCGTAATCTATCTATCTGTCTACCTACCTATCAGGCAAGTCTGCATACACCGTCTTGCCACGGTTCTGCTTCTTCTGCCCTCCCTCCCTCCCTCGAAGCCATGGCTCCATTCTGTCACGACGATTCGATTCGACTCGATTCAACTCGCTCCTCCTCCTCCTCCTCCTCCTCCTCCTCCTCCTCCTCCTC